GTAGAGCTGTGTGTAGATCCTGTTCAAGAGGGTTTCATTTCCTTGTGGTTTGTTTCCCTCAAATAAGTGTTCATACTTGTTCTTTATGCTGGTTTTGTGTTGGTCTTTGACTCTCTGCAGGACTGCTTCAGGTCTTTCCTGCCTGATGTGGGTCTGATTGTAGAATGCAACTGTAGCATCTATCTCCACACTGCTGAAATTAAAATGAAAGAGCAGCAAAAATTGCAATATCAGTAATTACAATGGCTGTTGAAGATTATCAGAAACATATCGGTGTGGATTATATATGTTACATATTTTGGAGAACATTTAGTGTTCATTGTTTTTTTTTTATAATTAATTAAAAAATCATATTATTTGAGATTATGTGCAGTGCATCAGCAACTAAATATTTATACTAACTGTTGGGCAGAAGTCACTGTTCCATCACTGAATGTAGCATGATTAAACATGGATTGTGTACTTTTCATAGACACACTGCTGAGTTCTGGAAATCCTAATCTCAGTGTCTTATTCCTGTTGGTAGTGACAAAAGACAAACATGTATAGTATACATACACACTGTATTATTGTATATTAAGATACACAGTTCTATTATTTGATTAACAGATATTGTCCATTAAAGATTTGTCCCCCTTTTATTTAACATTCAGTATTGTTTCAATGATTAAAAGCAATTTAAATAATTGTATTTAATTATTGAAAGAGAATTTGGGGAAAACAAGCATAAACAATTGTATAAATCATACAAGGTCTACTTTCTATATGCAAACTATAATGGGAACACAATTACATTCAACATTGCCATTTTCATTTAGTTTAGACAAATTTGGTTTTATCTGAATACAGATAAGAATTACAAATAATTTCACACAGCACTGACAGGAGCTGGCCAAAGCAGACAATCACCAGATTACAGTTTGTCACTTCTCAGAAATTCCACAGCCCAACAAACAGATACTGAACACGGCAACAGATGCCAACATGTGAATAAGCCTATAGAAATCAAACCCATGAGTGAGAGCCCTGCTCTACTATTTGAGCTACAAAAAATAGAAATCGCCCTGATAAAAAAAAGTTGCAAAAGTGCTAATGTCATACCTGGAGTCATTGGAAGTCTCTGTTGCATAACTTATTTCATGGGGAAGGTTGCAAATGTAATTATCAGACAAAGATGCACAGCTTGATCCGGGAGAAGGAGATCTTATTTCAGACATAATGTCTTCATTCTCTCTTTTCTCATGGGAACTCATTTTAGAAGCACTGCCTTCCTACTCTAAATAAGACATATATAAAAATACATAACATACTACACCAGATACACAAACACAACATCTCAGTAACAAAGAACAGCAAATCATGGTCACATTTGATTAAACAGTCTCACAACAGATGACCTTCTATATCACTCTATTAAAGCAATGTGGTTGAATAAGCTTAACCTATCTCACACTGATTTCACAATTTCAAGATGAAAGATAAAGTTGAAAAAGTTAAATATACAGATACACAATTAAATGCAGACTATTATTCAGTAGCTTTGGATACTTATCTGTTAAGTAAAATTTGATCATGGTCACATTTGATTAAACAGTCTCACAACAGATGACCTTCTATATCACTCTATTAAAGCAATGTGATTGAATAAGCTTAACATATCTCACACTGATTTCACAATTTCAAGATGAAAGATAAAGTTGAAAAAGTTAAATATGCAGATACACAATTAAATGCAGACTATTATTCAGTAGCTTTGGATACTTATCTGTTAAGTAAAATTTGCAGTTTTGTGTAGTATGATACTGTACTGCACATGTTTTTTTTTCTTTTCTTTTTTCTACTCAAATCAACTCAATTCAGTGGATTCTGAGCCTATAACTCCTGGTAAACTCAAAGGGGCTCAAGATCAGGAACTGCCATACATAATTTGCAGTGTGTATCCACATAAAAACATGTAATTGTTTATATATATATAATTAGTGTAATTTGTGAAATAATCCTATTTTAAATTATAATAGCATGAGAATGATTCACTCAAGGTACATATCAATATGTACCTTAAAGTGGTCATGACATTAATATTCCTTGATCTTTTGACATACTGTCATAGTACAATAAAAATGTAATGGTGCATATCAAATATCTTGAGCTGTTTTTCAGGTTTTATTATATTAAGGTACACAATCATTCCTCACTCTTCATTCAGCTTTTAATGTTTGTTACAGTACAATTATGGAAATTTACCTGCAGTAGAAAAGCCGTAGGTTTAGTAATAATGTCATACCTGTGAGACAAAAGAAGTGCAGAACGCAGCACTACTTTTTTATACTGTAAGCTAAAACAAATATAAAAACTGCAGTTAGTATTATTATTATTTTTTAAAGTACATCATGACTTTCAACAAGCATCTCATATTCTGTCATTTGTGCAAGAGAATCAACAATCACTATTTTACTGATATTGTCTGATTACTATATAGCATAATTAGTACAGTTTAAACATTTAAAATTGTCCTGGCAGTGAAATATCTTCAAATTAACTTAATTAACTTACCATCATTCAGAATTTACCACAATATGCTGCCTCTTAAATGTCCAGGCATAGATTTAAACCCTCAAAATATTATCCTTTCTTTTACTTTCATTTAGTCATCTGGTCAAGGTGACTCTTTCTTCTCTCTTGTCTCTTTCTCGTCTTGTTCTCCCTCTAGTGGTGCAGAGCATCATCATCATCTTCTCACGTGGATCTCAAAGCAGTTGTGTTGTTTGTAGCTCAACACAAACTCACAGCAGCATATGTCAGACATACTGCACTAGTGCTCTTTCTGTGCCGCATGCGTTACATCACTGCACCAAAATATACACTGCAAGACTATTAAAGAAAACATTTTTATTTATTTTATTTTTTACATAAAAACAAAATTTCACTCACACAAAACATTGATTTACCTGTCTGCAAAGATTCACTGAAGAAAATCTTGGGTTACACTTTACTTGAAGGGGTGTGCATAATCATGACATGACACCTTCATAATCATGACATGACACCTACATAATCATGACATGACACATGTCATGAATATGAAGGTTTTTTTATGCATATTTATGACAACTGTCATTAAGTGTCATTCGCTCAGTTATGTAATTTATTATGCAAAGATGACATTGTTTGAG